AAATCCCTCGATGAATATTTAAATAGAAGTCATCCTATTTTCTGAACATTTTTTATATTTGTGTAAAATAAAAACTTACGACGACTGAGATAGTTCATCAAGTCTATAAATATACAAAATCTGAAAATTAGTTATAAATTGAGTTTGTAAATTAAGAAGTTAAGTTGAATTTATTTATAAAGAAATTAATTCATGGATATTAAACATCGAATGAGCAAGATATTTAATTTACTGATATGTGAAAGAATATTTGAAATATTAAATATTTCATTTATTTATTCATTTATTTGTTTATATTACGAAAATGGGTTAAACTTTCGCGTTTACTTTCGTGCCGCTATATTTCCAATTTTCCGCGTAAATTAGATACTTTATCGATATATCGCATGGAAAGAGATGAGTGAATAGATGCTCCGGAAATTATTCACATGCCACGTGTAATCGAGATCGGTGAGCCAACTTTACGCTATTTGCACGCTTCCGCTGATAGTACAACTCCAGCGGCACGTTGCTACGTCATCTCTCTTTTCTGGGAAAAGTTTCGTCCATCCTACATCTCTGTCGGAGGAATACGAGCCAGTTACCGAGTAGATTGCACAGGTATGTTTCAGGACGCAATGGGTGCGCACGTACACAATATTAGACCATCAGTTTCTTCATTCTTTCTTACAGATTGGCAAATTGATCGAAGAAGCGACCATTCATTAACAATCGTGATTAAATTTTAATCTTTGTGCGGTAACTTTTCGAATGCCAGCTCAAAATAATAGGTCATTTCTTATTTGTTAATACACATATATCGATAAATATGTTTCATTTAAGCTCGTACAGGTTTATATTCACTAAATTCACAAGCATGAAAAATAAAAGCAGAATATTGAATCTTGCAGACCATTTGTCGCGAAACGTCGAGACGGATTATGTTTTAATACGTGGCAAACTAAAATAACGATGCTGTATAAAACTTATCGTACAGACGAAATAAAACGCAGTTTATGTACTTTAAGGGCGAGATATGAGATTAAGCAGGCATATTTAGATGTAATAAGAAACATTATGGAGAAAAGAATAACATTACGAAGTAATGCATAAAAATAAAATAATCTTTAGCTTTAATAATATATTCAAAAATCCTGATATTTTATACAATTCTGCGTCTCTTTATATTGGGAGAAATATATTTATATATTAATTGGCAATTATATTACAAGCTTTGGTAATTTTTTAAAGGGTGGAGCTGCGAGGTGGAGGTAATATTTCTGACTCAATTTATTGTTAAGACTCGCATCGATTTCATTTGTTAGGGTGCGTTCTTCAACAACAGTCCTTCTCATAGTCGCGGAGCATTGACTTCTTGTCACTTCTAAACGAGAAGATCGATACTTGGTTAGAAACCTGATACGCTCACGCTCCTCTCTTTAAGGTGGCCGAAATATATTACGGAAAGAAGTACATTCCATCGAGTTACTTCAGGATTTTTACAAGCAATTTAAGTTTCTTTATAGATACTTATAAATTCTTATACGAGGTGATATTAAGGGATCTCATTAATTAATCATTCTATGCAACAGCAGGAGTTTGTTGTTGTTGGTTAATTCTTCGCCAAAAATTTGAAACAAGCGTATTGCGTGAAACCATTTATTCGCCTAATTAAATGTAGCTAGAGTTCGTGACGTTCGTGGAAGTTGCTAATCATCTGCCATGACACGTACAACAATGGCGGGATTCGTTAACACGAGTACTGTAACAGTTTATATTTACGATATTTATAACAGTATTTTCGTCTACAAAATTGCGCAAGTTACTAAATTAAATCCCTCGTGTATAATACACTGTTATAATATTATGAAAAAGCAAAGAATTCTAAAAGATAATACTGTTTAGCAAATTATAGAGCGAATAAACATATTTTATATTTGCTCACATTTTAAAACATAAAACGTATTATATAAAATTAATATATTTAGGGACAAATTGACATTTTATCATAACGTTAATGTATTATTTTCCACAATGACGTAATGATACACCTTTGTCTAATATTCAGAATAGGAATTATATTAATTATAACAAATTAAAAGTTTCTCAAAATTTAGTTAATACCGAAATAATGAAACGGTGTCTTTACATCTTTGGCAATGGCAAAGAGAAGCTATCTTCGTGTGGCCGGCTTTAAGCTTCTAATACCTAATTTTCCAAGTGGTTGAGCGTTATGTGCACATGGGCCTTTAGATACTATTATAATGTAACGTTGATTATAAAGTTCGCAACATAATAACAATAATTATCTCAACAATGATATAAGCAAACTACGGACGGCTCTTCAAGAAGAGCAATCTATAGTTTGATACTATAATTGCTTTGAGCAGAATTCCATTATTTTCATGTCAAATAATCAACCGGATAATATCTGACTTGCATCTATAATTAGTACTCTTATCTTACTTTCTTTCCTTCGACAAAGTTCTTTTTCGAACAGCACATTTTTCAAATGTGACTTCTATCTAATAAACAAGCTATCTGTAAAAAATGTTACAACCGTCAACGTTAATTGAGCAATGATCGTTCTAAAAAGTTGATGTATCGAGATAATTTGCCAAATATTTTTCACGATGTCGCAAGGGGTTCTAATGTAAATAGCCCTCGTAAATTTTCCTTCGAGCGTTAAATTGCGATTCTTTAACGCGTTCGTCCGGAATAGAGTCCGTGCCTCAATTTCTAAAGCCCTATTCCGTTGACTTTAGTCCATTCTTTGGTGTGAATATTGAAACTCATTTGTGAAAGACGTTTTATTCATTTCAAACAATTACTACGTACTGAAAAGAGAAGGAGAAGATTAAGCGAGCCAATTTGCAAACTTCCTTAACGAAGAATTAACCAATACCTAGTTTCGAAGTACAAGTATTGTTAGAAAGTTAGATTTTTGTCATTTCGCAGAAATTTGTCATTATAGTTTTCTTTTATTTATAGCAGTAAGTTCAAATCAACTGTAACAACAAGGACAAAATATTAAAAATTTTAACACATTTCCTAAGCTTTCTTCTGTATTGTTTTGGCCAACTGTAGAAATATATAACACAAATATTACTGCATACTTGAATATTGTTGGAAGATGACTACATTACAAAATGTTTTTAAGCTGTCTTCTGTTTCTATGTTAATATTGCATCAACTGTCTATTACAATATGAGTCAATCCAAAATGGGAACTTTACCTGATGCTTCTTGTTTTATGAAGGTAAATTTCCGCGCATTTTAGCAACCCCATTCTTATTTCTTTACGTTGTAGTCCGCCTATAAATTTACTTTGCCATTCTCTTCAGGATACGGTAATTTTTCACAATGAGAAATACAAGAACACCACCTCTTACTTTTTCTCTTCCTTTTTCATATGCTTCCATCTCGATGTTAAGTAAAGTGAAATTCATGGAAAACGTTACACTGCTATATATACTCAATCTGCACGATATAACTTCTTGTTTGTATCATCCCCCAGGAGAATTGCAATTTTTTTATCAATTACTATCGTGGTTTATCTTAAGGAACTTTGAATAGATAATTACAGATAAAGTAAAGCATAAAAAATCGAGTTGCAAAGAATTAATTAAAACTAAAGTAGAACTAAATTTAGATCTACTCGATTTACTTGAGAGAATACGGTATTATATAACAGATTCTAGTTATTATTATTAAAAAATTTTATGAATAATTCTATTAAAAATTCATTAATAAAGAGCAGAAATTATAAGTACAAATATATATGTAAATGTGGAGAATAATTTTGTTATTTTGCAATATAAGCAATGCGGCTAAATAATAAAACAGTAATATTCTTCTATATATAAGCGTCTGTGTACGATTTTGTAAGCGACAAGTAACGTAATAACGAGGACAAGTTTGCAGGCCGCTGTTGTGCCTTAATTTCGTCAAATCCTAGGATCGTTAAACAACAAGTAGTGCAATGGTAATAATAGCATTCTCAATGTTGAGTGCTTTTGTCGTAGTCGTATCGGCCAAACACCGTGGCCGTCGCGTAGTGACGTAGAAAGTTAAAGGTGGCAACAATAACCATAAGCTTCGCTCGTAAATTCAGCTTCGGAAATTAAATCGTGCTCGCTTAATTCGTAATCACGCCAGCTCTCTTTCTACCCGATGCCTGTTCTTTTCACTCTTCTTTTTTCGCCGTACTCAACTGCTCAAAGTACTACGTGACGAAGAACAATTCGCGAGGAGGAATCTCGTCGATGTAGGACATAATGTACCTTCGAACCCAAGACGTTTTTTTATTTTTCAGACCCATCCTTTATACTTTTTTTTCACTTTCAGCGACTCCCGTCATTTTTTAGCTTTTTCCCCTTTTTCCTTCAATATGTTTGAAACTGCGATTACCTGTTATCCGGATTATTACATAGTCTGGAAGAGATTTGTCACAGTGACAGTTTAAAACGTTTAGTTATATATCGTTATATATCTGTTACATAAATACTAAAAAAAAAACTAAAAGTCATATATCAGCGTGTTATAAAAAAACAGATTTATTTAAATATTTTTTTTAGAAAAATTTTAGATAGAAACAGAGATAGAAGATAAAAGTTCATGTCCGTTTAGCATCTAGAAAATTTTTTAAATGTGTATTGCAATCAATGCAATAATGTAAATTGTATATTAAGTGAATAATACGAAAATTATGCATTTCAGTTATAATAGGATAATATTTTTAATACAAGAGTAATTTAACTGTTTCTTCAGAAAATACGTAAAATGTCCATCAAGACTTTCTGACTTACTGTTATCTTTGCCATTACTTCAGAGACTCGTTTCTCGTAGCATAATAAATTGTACGGTGTTGCTCTTATACTACTCCTCTGTTTCTCGCGTTTTCTGTTTCTTTTTGTTCTTTTTTTCTGTTGTTTACTCGTATTACAACTCGTCCAATAAGAAAAAAGTTTCATAAATAAGTTATCACCAGTTGATTCCAAGTGAGCTTTTATCTGATTGCAGGAGTGTGCCAAAGTGGAAAGTATCCGAAATTTTCGCTTCTGCGAGACGCGCGAATCGAATTTCATTCAGATCCGGGTGCTCGATATTCGGAATGTTCAGGTAATGCGATTGTCTTCCATAGCACAAAAAAATTCAAGTTACCCAAACTCGATAGGACTAATTGGATCAGATTCACTCTAAACTTTGTTATTCGTCACGCTTCTATCTGTACACTTATTATATGAAATAAATTACCCATGTCTGATAATCAATTGAAAACTGATAAAAAAATTACGTATTGTTATAAATATTATTTAAAATTATTTTAACAATTGTACGTTTAATATCAAACTTGCACATTTTTTTTAATTTGTCACGGTGATACTAATTTATTTAAGTTTGTATTAAATTAAAGAAATTCCACATCCGTACATGTGTGTATCATTCGTATGGAATTTAATATACAATATTCAGAAAGGAAAATATCTAAATATACGACTTCATCGAGGTGATGGTGAACGCTGTGAAATGAATGCAACCTGCGACTGTGCAAATATTCTCGAAGCTTGCATAAATAGGACATTATTCAGCAATGCAATATTAAAATATATTTCTTCCGCGACGTACAATTTTTCTCAATTATGCGCATTTTTTAAAGCGTTCTCCCGGCGGCATTTATTAATTTGCACAGCATCGAAAATGCAATAGAAACGCGAATAGGCGAAAACGCAATCGTAATCGAAAATATTACCGTGCGATATTGAAACTTCCATATACAAAAAAAAAACTCGGATTATCTGCAATTTCCACGCGTACAAGCAAGATTGCTCTTTAAACTCCTAATTGCAGCATCCGCAAGGGCGTATAACTCATTCAATGCGATGCAACGGAACCGCATATTCCCGACATCGCCGTAATGATTTGGCATTACAAAGCAATCAGAGATTAACGAAAAGCAAACGCGAATGAAATTCGCGTTGCATAATTCGCCTTAGCAAGAAGTATCCCGATTCACTTGCCAAGCTTCTCTACTTAGAAAGCAGCGCTCTTGCTGCGGGATAAACCAATTTCAACGATGTGGTACAGAAAGTCCATAACTCTTATAAAGAATACTCGAAGCGCTCCTAGCGACCGATAACAAAGAGAAAATGCGTTACGAACGAAGTGAAATATTCCAAGAACGGCTCTGACAAATTTACGAAGAACAGAATATCGGAAATAGCCGCGCAATAAATCTTTTTCTGGCTTCGATGCGTGACCGTCGCCTCAATTCCATTCGGAAATGAGTCAAGCATCTGGTAAATCGCGAGAATTTGCGTATCGCGTTACAGCCGTCAAGATATCATCGAATCGAATTTTCCTTCACGCTTCATGGTACTTTGATCGTCACCTGTCACGTGAAAGGTATCCATATGTATGTATGTATGCTTATTTATTCACGGTGAGTCGCGTACCTGCCGAATCCAAGCGCTTTTCAGACAGGTTTCAACAATCGTTGACTACGAGTGTTTACACGGGAGATTTTGTACTTTATGTTCGCTTTTACATTCGTGAAAAATTGTTCTTTTAAAAAAAACTGCATTTTATTAATTACTGTATGACATTTGGTGTAAACAATATTCCAGGAACATTTTTTTCCGAAAAAACATTTTATTTCGATGAATAATTTGTTAAAATTGCAAATTTGTATGACCTATTTGACTGGATTTAATGATTATATTAAGCATAAAATTCTTATTAAATGATAAAATCGAGTATTTGTTTTTGTTAAAATTAAAATAAAATTAAAAATTGTCATTTTCATTTTTAAAACAAAAGATATGTTAATATGTATGCATTTGAAAAGACTTAAAAAAATCAATAAGATTTAAGCGATTATACCGATAATCTATTTTTAAAATAAAACTAAAAAATGGCGTATTAAGCGTGATTTAAAACGAATATTCTAGCGCCATTTATTTTTCATTACAAGAAGCATTCACGGAAATAATCGGCGACATGCCCCGTAATACATTCGAGATTATACTACCAGATTTTGCTCTCAGAAACGCTGCTAGGTTCGGTTAATCATATTATAATTTTCTCGCTGAAAGTAACATTAGATTTTCTTATCTTAGATATTCCGTTTGCAAATCGAAATGATTTGCCCCTCGCCAGCGCTGCTATTATCGATTATCTTACTATACAACCCACTTTCATTGTTCCGCACTAAAGTTGCGAGCATATAATATAACCACGACAGGAAATATGCGCCGTTGCAGGACGTACTTTTATTGCCGTACGGCGCAACAGTACTTCCAGATAAGAGAGTTCCTACGAGGTCGTTGTCATCAATATAACACGGACATAATATAAGAAAGTGCAGCGTTGTTCCGTCTCGATAATAACGTCCGTAAAACAACTCGAGTCCTTTCCAGCTATTCGTAAAGTGGTTAATAACATTCGCATAAAGTTATTACACTATTCGCGCAGCTACTCTCAGCTCCAATATGTTTTCTGTGACTGTTGAAATCGTTGAGTTAGAAATTTTAATTTTCCTGCAAATGGAACATTTGAGATTTCAGAGCAGTATAATGGGCGTATGCACATTTAACAGAAATAAAGTATTTAATGCTACAAAAGTTTAATTAATTTCTCTTAAGAGCTTATGTAGATTTATGAAACATAGTAATTAATGTAAATACAATATAATGTCTTTGATCCTTTAAATGGGATGATTTACCGTTTTATTAAACCTCTCAAAATTATATATTAAATCATATCAGATGCAAATACTTTAAGCCTTGTATAAATTGGTCCATCAAGGAAATTTCACCTGCGAACCATTGTATTACAGTGATAATCGTTAATTGTAAATACCTTTTTTAAAGCTAAATCTTATCTGTATACATCTGTGTAAGTCTACAACAAATACCCGTCTGTTATTAATTTTTATTTATTCCCAAGATGCGTTTAATAAAATTTTAAAACAAATGATCACAGTTTAAACATCCCAATTTAGAATTTAAATCGACATTCCGACTGTCATGTGTTTTCATTCACGTGTGTTTCTAAACGTCTTCGTTAGAGATACAAGGCGGATGTTTATTCTGGAAAGTTTAACCCACCTAGCGTAAATATTAACGCGACGACGCACCGGTATACGCGCCTAATTCACGCGGAATGCTGCTGGTTTTCGTTCCAACTTTAAGCACGTACTTAAATTCAACCGTTTCTTATCCGCGACATTATCGCTAATACAGCGCCGGAACGTACAGATTACAACGCGTTTTTTTTGTCTTGCTGTTAAAATAATTGCGTAATCCAATTTGCATCTTCTCTCTCACGTCAGGAGCTTGCGAGACAAAGCACGCGAAACATATGCATGGCACCGCGTGACGCATTATAGCGTCGCGACGAGCGGCATAAATTATCGATGTAACTCGCCGAATACAAGACTATAGACGTCTCGATGGCTGCCCGTCCCTCGCTATGAGTTGCGAAAAGGTCCTAAATCAACCGGAGCTGCACGACGCGAAAGTTAATATCCGGCTCGATCGTCGCCTTAACGGCACGGAGACGCGCTACATTGCACGACCGGCCTGAAATCGGAAGAAAAATGGAAAAGGAGAGTACAGATGTATATAAATCACGTAAAATCGCGTTCGCGCGCGCCACTCTCCTTCAAGACGCCTCAGTTTCCTCAACATTCAACTCGAAATATGATACTCGCGACTTGAGCTGTGGCCCGTTTTCCAAAGACCTCATTGTCGATGTGATCGTATATAGTCAACTTATGGATTATATAAAGAAGTTACAATCTTCCTCCGGAAGAAAGTAAAGTTCGTAGCGCAATTTCTATCTTCCTTTATTGCCGGGTATTTTTGGAGCTTTTAAGAACGACCGCTTTCTATCGATGCTTCCAGATAAGAAACAAATCAATACGATTCTTGAAATCGTCGAGATAGAAAAGTAATGATAATTATAGATCTTATCGCGTTGAATAATAAAGTTGCAATTTTATCTTGTAGACAACGCGGACGTCGTCGAGCATTGTTTATTCAATAAGACGAAATATACCTATATTTCTTTTATTCAAAGATAGACCATTTGTATTCGAATTTATATGCCTGTCTGCTCGGCTAATAAGATTGTCGAAAGAACATATCATACCTTTTTCAAGAACTGCCACCGACAGAGCTCCTGTTTTTTCGTCATGACATCATGATGCCGGTGTGACACGGCATAACAGTACTCGCTTTAAAGATTCGCCGGGGTGGAAATAAAATAAACGGATTACTCCCCTGCGTAATCAGATAGTCTGAATTTCTGGGTATCCACATATACATGCGCTCTTGCATATGTATTGTCGGGGTTTGTCTGCTTAGTTACCTTAAGCCTGAGGTTATGATTAAATCTGTCGCTTCTCGTCTGACTCCCGCTGCGCGCGACTGCGGTTTCTCCTACTGCAAACGCAAACGCGTCTGCCTTACAGTGACGCAATTTAGGCCCTTGCTGGTGGCTAATGCAGATCAAGCCTCTGAGGTATTAGCTCCTATAATAGACGGCTTAATAACACTAATCTAGAATCTAATACGGTGGAAACAAAGAGGATTGTTCGTTCGAGGCGAACCACCGACGCCAAACGTAACGCCAACGTTAACAAAAGACTTGTACCAGATCGATATTTTTAATTCTAATTTTTTTTTCTTATATTATTTTCTTTTATTATTTATCTTATATTATTTTTTATACTTTTTATACTAATTAAAAATTATTTGTTCATTCAAACGTGATATATAACGAAATTAACGAGATTTATTGGTACCAAGTCCAAGTGGTATTACGATTAAAGTGGTAGCGATTGAAACTAATCTACAATTGCATACTTGATTAAGACAAAAATTAGCACAGAAACTACCCTTATAAATTTATAATAAGTCACCTCCATCCTGTGACAGGTAAAGTTTATAATTAATCCGTCGCGAGACTAACTTATTAATTTTTCACGATAGCGTCATACGATATGCAGTCACTAATTCCCGATTCCGATTTAACTGTGAGAATAACTACATATACTGAAAGCCAGCGGTGCGGTTTAATACTGAAATTCTATTATAATATTTAAATTAATGCTTTGC